TTCTATGAAGACCTTAACATTGATATCAGAACCTGGTATAAGAAAATTACAGATGCAAAAATCCTACGCAAGATATTAATGAATCAAATCTAACAACAGAGAAAAGATAATACATCATGACCAAATGGGATTTACTCCAAGAATGTAAAGTTGGCTTAACTTTCTAAAATATAGTAATTCCTCACATTAACAGAATAAAGTAGAAAGAAATATGTGCATCTCATCTCAAATACACTCTATATCTCAAGAGTATATGCTCACAGACAAAGCATTTGACAAATTCAACAGTTCAGGATCTTAAAAAACAAAAACAAAACAAACAAACTCTCAGCAAACGAGGAATAGCAGAGAAAGTCCTTAATCTGATAAAGGATATAAACAAAACTACATTTAACACTCTCCTATCCTTTCTATTCAATATTATACTAGAGTATATAAAAGTACAATAAGGCAAGAGAAAGAAAGAAAAGATAAAAGATTGGAAAGGGAAAAGTAAAACGTCAGTGTTGATAGAGGACATGATTAAATGTACAGAGAGAATCGAATGAAACTACAAACTATTCAATTTATTAAGTTAATTTAGCTAGGCTATTGGATATAAAAAATTACATATTTATGTAATACTGAAAACAATTTAAAAGTGAAATTTTTAAAATGCCAAATATAATAGTACCAAAAATCATAAAATACCTAGGAATAAATGTAACAAAAAAATTTGCAAGATCTGTATACCAAAAACTACAAAGCACTGATGAGGGAAATTTTGAAAGACTTAAATAGATTAAGAGATAGACCATTTTCATGGATTAGAAGACACAATATTGTTAGAATGTTGATTCTCCCTAATTAACTTGTAAAATCGATGCAATCTCAATCAAAACCTCAGCAGGCTTTCTGTGACAACCAAGTTTCTGAATTCAAAGTTCGAGGAATTCCCTGAAACAATGAAAAAACTCTTACATCAACTGCTGCATTTCTCTATAGTGGTTTAAACCTCTGCGAAATTTTATTATTTGTTCTTTTTGTGAAAGGTAGCGTTCACCAAAAAATAGCACACGTTCCTGCAGAGTAAGAGGGAGGTGACTATAATTGTGTATGTGTGTTTCATGAGCGTGTGTACATAAATTCATAAAGTTCTGGATATACATATACATTTCTTCCTAAAAAGACATTGAAAGGTATCTTTTACTTCTCTTAGGAGCATAATGAATGTAAGAGCAATATAGCAGCATCGGTTTTGTTAAAAAGAAACAGATTTTCTAGGAAAATATAGATTGTATATGCAACTTGACATTTGAAGACAGATACTTTTACCAACGAGATGGTAAAAAACAGGACTGTTTGATTGTGGGTGTCAAACACTCAGCTAAAAATAATCCAAACAAAATAAAGAGGGGTGGTGATTAATCAGGAGGTACCGGGATGGTTCACGGATCTAATCTGGGCATCGCAGAGGGAAGCTAGGCACCAGGTTCCTTCTGTTCATCTTATCTTTCTGTCTCTGGTGCTGTTGGTACCTTTCTCTGTTCCGCCAAGGGGTAGTCTGTGCTACGGGGAGCCTGGTCACAGACAGCTCTGGCCTGTGCCCTTCCTGCTTAGACATGAGAGGAAAGATTCCCTTGCTGGCAGGACCACCTTCTGACACTCTGAGGAAAGTGTCGGATTCACCTGGCCGGTGCCGTGGGACCGTCCTGCCGCAGTCGTTCGGGCTCCTGGAGCAGGCACGGGGCAGACAAAAGCAGTAACTACCCACAGCAGATGAGTTTTCCCAACCTCATGCTGCTTTAACACCCCGTTTATGCCCTTTTCCAGACACCCCGGGCCATGCCAACCCCTTCGATTTCTACAAGGTGTCAATTTTCCATTTTTCATTCTCTGCCTCGGAGCCCCTTCCTGCCGTCTGTCAACACTCTCAGCCGGGCCGGCCCTGGCCTCTACCAGCACGTACACAGGAAGGCTTGGAACAATTGAAAAGATTGACAGGAGAAAAGACCACGTAGAACATTTTAAATTTTGAAAACGAGTAGCTTAGAGACACTTCAGATTTCTTATATTTTGATTCACTTTAACATCCATAAATAACATTAATCAGATCTCTATGCCCAAGCACTTACACATGTACTTGCCACTCCCACACTGCAGAACAATAACCGGCTGTCCAGGTTTACACAACTTCGAGAATGAAGATCCACAGGGAGTAACTAAGGGAAGCTGTCTAGGTGGAGAATCATGGCATCTGGGAGCCAGGAGAGAAGGATTCTAGCCTCACCATAACTGGCTGGATGGTTTTGAGTGATTTGCTTTGTCTATGAAAAATTAATCAGCCAATGTGAGAAAGAAATGCAAAATTTTATTCGAGCCAACTTGAGGATTATAACCTGGGAAGAGCACCTCGGAAAGCTCTGAGAACTGTTCCACCCATTAGAAGTCAAGGCACAATTATATAAGTTTTTTGAGACAGAGGGCTGTACATTAAATGATGTATTATTGACAGTTTGCACAATCCCAATCTAAGTATCATTGTGGGCCCTTACAAGATCAAGAAAGAAAGCTATCTTTAAGGAGTTGCCTTAAAAGGTGCTAGGACAATGTTGCTCTTTATGGTTGAGCAGGTATTTCTGCTGATGGGGGAGGTTTGGTCAATGCATAATGCAGATATACAATGCACAGTAGTGGGGGGAGAGAGGAAGCCAAAGGACCGAGAAGATGTTTTTATGTTTAAATTTTTCTTGTCTTGCCATAAAATGTGAACTTCATTTCACAGCTTCATCCCATTGGGTCCATTTGCTCATCAGTAAAATGAGGAAGTAGGATTAGATCAGAGGTCAGCAAACACTGGCCCACAGGCCAAATCCAGTCCACTGCTTGTTTTTATAAATAAAGTTTTATTGGCACACAGCATGCTTACCCCTTTAAGTATTTTCTATGTCTGCTTCCATGCTTCAAAGCAGAGTTGAGTGGTTGCCACAAAGTCTGTATGCTCTGCAAAGTCTAAAATATTTACTGTCTGGCCCTTTACAGAAAGTTTACTAGACCCTGATCCTAAATAAGTCATCACAAAACCATTTTTCCCTTGAAACACTTTCAAGTAAGTAGTTTTCTGCCACATCTCGAATTTTCCTGGCCCATGCTATTGCTGTTTACCCAAGCCACACGAAACTATGTCTGCACAGGCAGAGACTAGCAGGGAACTTAGTCAATTGCCTTCAGTCAAAATAAGTAGCCAACCGTACGACTCATATTTTCCCTCCAGCAATTGCAACTATAATATGAAATATTCAAACTCTCACTTCATATCTCTCCATCCATTTCTCTCTGGTCAATAGACAAGAAGGGTTTAAGAGGATTCGATGTCTATTCAGGTCAAAGTGAAGTGAAATTGTGAACGTCACTGAATTCCACGTAGATGGCAATATCTGGCAAAACAAACAGGAAATTTAATTGGGGTTGAATTTCCTATTTTGCCTGTCAAAATAAACGAATCATTGCTGAAATGCCACTTGATTTTATATTGGGTAATATAGCAATAGAAATAAAAAATGGCACTAATAAAACACTCTACCCACATTTTTCAGTTTTCTTCTTTGTTAGTGCATCAAAATTTGGAAAACACCATGCATCCTGTGAAGGCTATACCTCTCAAAAATTTTCTGCGTAATATCATACTGACATACTGGGAAAAACCAGAAAGGAGTGAGTGGGAGACCTCCTATATACGCGTGCACGCACACACACACACACACACACACCTCTGACAAAAAAAGGAATCCAAAATCAATAACCAATCCCAAAATGCCAGGAAGCAGGGTTATAAATTTAACACAAACTGCGCCCTCTTTAAATTCCCAGTCCGTTTATCAAATTTTTAAAACGAAATGACAAGTTAATATTATTAGTCAAAATATATAAATAAATCACCTTACATATGTTATTTCCAAGGTCTGTGAATGATTTCACAGTAGTTAGTTGTAATAAGTGAATACACAGGCAACCTGGGCTCAGGAGCAGAGCTGGTCCAGGTAAAGCTGGAAACACACCAATCCCCAGACGGCACAGTTAGCTCGGAGGGCAGACGCCAGTGCTGGGCTGCACACAGGGGCCTTTAAGAAGTTGTTTGGTGAGATTTCTCTCACAAGGCAGCACTGACATCCTACCCGTTGCTTGGTCTATGATCCCCTACACACAATCCCATTGTTTATAAAAAGAACTTTTTTTCAACATCTCCGAAAAGCGAGGATTAAGTCAACTCATCATAAATTCCTCCTGCTAGAAACCAACTCACTGAAGAACTCTCCTAAAATGTAGTTTGTCAAATGCTTTGGGTTTTAATGAAATGCCCACATCTGGGAGTCATAAATTACCTAATGGAACAGGAAGAGTCACAGAGAATGAGGAATCCTGGAGTTCTGTGTTCAAGATGAATTGCTGGAAAATTCTCTATCTTAAAAATCAGTCCTGTTCTTTACCTGTTTAGATTTGCACAACATCCAATGTTAACAGCCCTTCTGCAGTTGCCAAATGGCAAATATAAACAGAAAAACAAGAAAAAAAAGTTCTTTGAACGTGTTCCCCTCCACTGGCCCCGAGCCAGATCTGCCATGCAGGGCCTCCCTGCCCTCCTGGCATCATTCTGTCGCTGCCATTAGTAGCATTATTGGTGTTGGAACAAAGCCAGCTGTCTTCCTTTTCAAACCAATTTGTGTGATAGCATGGATTATTGAGTTAGGTAATCTGTCACTTCTTAAAAACACCCAACTTTAATGTCATTCCCATACATACTGCTCTCTGAGTATTTGAAGGTATTTTGGTGACACCATCCCAGGCCTGGCTTATGCATCTCAGAATAAGCCACCATTATTTGGTACCTTCTCAGCTAACCAACAAAAGCATTTTTAAAAACAGAACTACACACATCTAACTTTCTTTGCATTACTTATGCAGTGCACGTAAACATTCAAAGCAAATCTACACCAGCCAAGGAAAATGATCCCCTAACGTACCTAAAAATCATTTGTGACTCAATTATATGCATAGTTCTTGTGAAGGATTCAGGAAGTCAGGCAATTTCCTCAGTTCTCCGCTTCACTCTGTGAACATAGACTGGGCATGGGAATCTTTATTTTTTTCCTTGGGGAGGGGGGATGTTTTCACTGTGCCTTCCAAAGAAAATACAGGCTATTTTCAAAAAAGACATTCACTACTTGGAGGGCTGAGTCCTGGTGTCACGTTTCTCTGAGAAAGCTTCCCTAATTCAAGAGTTGCTACCTGAGATTGGGATAAGAAACAGCAATATTTCCTTATACACTGTGCATGTGTCTGTTTGAAATTGCATTTCTGTGCATGCCACAGACCTGACTCTAGGAGCTTCATCAAACAGGATTTACTTCTCAAACATAACAAGAAGTCCTGAAGTGGCTGGTCCGGGCAAGTGTGGTGGTTCCAGCACAAGCCTGGTCCCAGCCTCACTGGGCTCATCCCCATATGCTTCTTACCCCAGGTCACAAGATGGTGGCCCACCTCCAGTCCCCCATCCCAGCAGAAAGAAAAGGGGAGAGGAAGAAGGTGACACCAGCCTACACCAGAAAAGCAAAATCTTTCCCCCCAATCCCCAGCGAATTTCTACTATCTCACTGGGGAAACTGGGACACTTAGTGGCTGGGTACATTACCAGCAAGGTGGGAGGGGAAGAATGTCTATTGGGAAGGCTTCTGGCAGAGTCCGCTGCAGTGCATCCTTAGTCATATGCCTCTACCCAGAGTGGAGGGCCATACTCAGACTTCAGTGAGACAGGGCTTCTTCTGCAAGACTCCGGGAGTATCACAGGCATTCACTTCCTGAGAGAGAGAATTTTGAACTCAGTTCCTAAGAGGTGAAATCCTGAGTTATATCATGACTTACACAAAGTGGGCAATTATGGGATCAAGATATAATCACTACTAATTCTGGAAGCAAGTAGCTTCAGGATTTTCTCATACAAGATTGACATAAAACAGGAACCAAAGACATAGTTATTGAAAAAAAAAAAAAGGCTTCGTAACTCTCTTCACTTTCTCATCAAAACTATCAGATTACATAGTCTTATGGAAAAGGACAACTTCCTGGTCCAACATATTGCAAAAAGTACTTCCTATTGAATCAAAAACGGAAGGAAGGGGCTTCCCTGGTGGCGCAGTGGTTGAGAGTCCGCCTGCCGATGCTAGGGGTGCTCCGGTCCCGGAAGATCCCACATGCCGCGGAGCCGCTGGGCCCGTGAGCCATGGCCACTGAGCCTGCGCGTCCGGAGCCTGTGCTCCGCAACGCGAGAGGCCACAACAGTGAGAGGCCCACGTACCGCAAAAAAAAAAAAAAAAAAAAAGGGAAGGAGGGAGGGAAGACAGAAGATATTTACTCTATTTATAAAACAGAAAAATAAGGGGGTGATTATTCACTTTAACAAACGGATTTCTCTTAATGATTTTTAAGAGAAGATTCTCCAATATCTTTATGGTACTCAATTTATATGCCTCGTTATAGGAACACCTGTACTTTATAAAGACTTGGTATGAGATTGGCAACCCATAAAGCTGGATAATGGGTACACAAGCGTTCATTATGGTCTGTTCTCTCCTTTTGTTTTTGGTTGGAAATTTTACATAATACTTTTTAAAAGATTTGCCACTAGAAAAGGAAAATAAAAGTTCTGATTTCCTCTTTTAAAAAAATATGCAGCATTTTAAATATGCTCCCCTCTTTAACTTAAAGGGGAGCGTGCTGTGTAAATACCACATCCAAGTCAGTAATGCACAATGGGGACTCAATTCATAAAACTTATTTTCAAATGCAGCAAAAAGTTTTCTGCTATGCAAAATGAGCACTCTTTCAAGAATATTTAAAAGCATAGGAACGTGTTGCTGTGGTCAGAGATGTTATCTGACATGGGAAAAGAATCTGGAAATTACATCCCCAGAGAGCCTCTCTCCACCTTTCAGTGGGGCCGTAGCACTTGACTCTTGAAGCACATGACAAACGCTGTGCTCTTCTCTCCAACATCGTGTCTCAACAATAAGTCACAGGAATCTTTCCTCTTGCTCTTCTAGAAAAAATTTCTTAGAGGAAGGCTGTGACTTGTCCGCAGCTGACTTTTGCAAACAAACCATACTTTGTATCTATTACTGGGCACAAGGGCATTTCTTATTCTTCGTTTATTAATAGATCCAACCATGACTTTTGAAACATTCATCTACACCCAGATTTCCTTTTACCCCACTGTCCACACTACCATTCCTCAGTTATATCTATCATTGTTTGAATTCCTGAGATAAAATCACTTCCATACTGTTTGCCTTGAGATCTCCTCTTGTTTGTACGCGGGCCTCTCACTGTTGTGGCCTCTCCATGTGGGACCTTCCCAGACTGGGGCATAGAACCCGTGTCGCCTGCATTGGCAGGCGGACTCTCAACCACTGCGCCACCAGGGAAGCCCTCTACCTTGTTTTGAAAGAGTTCATTTACTCTCCTCCCTATCCTCCCAAACCCTCAAGACAAGCGCTTCCTCAAGTTCAGTTGTTCCTTCAGAGACACATTAAACACTTTTGTATTCATTTGCTTATTCAGTTGCAATGCAAACCAACTTACCATTTTCCAGATCACTCATAGAAAGGTCTCCTTCCGAAAGATAACTTGCCCCAAGCACAAACCATTTCTATTTCCCAATAATTAATGGATGGCCAAGCAACCAAACCAAATGTTTCTGTGATGAAAAACAAGTTGGTAACATTAATTAATGAAATTACTATCTTGGAACTGAAGGCCCAAGATGATTTTTAATAGTCACAATTATTTTCTTGATAGTTCTATTTGGAACACTACAAAAACACTTCAACTTTATTATTCCAAGGCCAGAACTGGATTGACAAGTGAAAATAAAGTGTTAGCTTAAAAATAGAACTTTGTCCATCAAGCTAGCTTGCAAAGCAAAACAGACCTATGGGCAGTTACAATCTCTGTATATATTGCCAAATTTGTGGTGGGAAAATGTTATAAGCCTTAGTTCTGGTTAACAGTTTTTGTCCATTTATGTATGAGATGTAAATAAAATACACATGGTTAGGGCCAATTCTGCCCTTCTGAAGATAAAAGCACCGAAAAAGAAAATGTTGGCAGTTCTCTGTACGCAACCAGGGTAGCTTAATTCGTACCGCACTTTGCCACGTCAGCAGAAGTGGGGTCCCCTGGAGCTATTGTGACCCATGATGAAGGTGCTAATATTGGTAGAAGGGAGTGAGCAAAATCTCACCAAACAGCATGAGGCCCTGGTTGCCAGGCTGATGCGGTATTGTAAATCCATAAAAAACTGTTTCAAAAACAAATTTTCACAATTATAAAGCGGAATAGCTCTTAGAGCCACAATAGCTTCCTCTCTGAGGTCCTGACATTTGAAATACAAATCTTCCCAGGCCCCTGGTGAGCGGTAGCCCTGTTTAAGGAACGTCTCCAGTATTAACAGCTTATTTTTATGCTTAAAAAAATCATTAGATGGCCACCAAAGAGGATTTTGAAGCAAATACCCTTTGTTTTAAGAACGTCATACTTTATTAAAAGTTTTATGAGGAAAAAAGGAGAAATCCACAGCAGGGCACATGTAATAGATATGAAATGCAGAAATCCCCCAGAGAAAGACCCACACGTAGCAACATTCTCGGAAGGAGGGCTTGTCTTCAAGAGATGCTAACCAGGGTGATGTTAGTATGTCGGATTTATTCGCGTCAGGGCACTCTGGCAGGGGAGTAAGTGCTGGGACTTGCCTTACACCCTAGTGAAAGCTCAGTGCTGTTATGTTCACAAACCAGACACACGCAGTTGTGCAGAGCAGTGCCAAATTGGTGCCAACATGGCATCGACACCTATTTGATGGGTAGCAATGCTGGGCACAACTTGGGCTCATTGGAATGATGTGCTGGAAAACTGCTAGAACATATTCTGAAGAATTTCTTCAGGAAATTCTACAGAGGGTGGGAATGGAAATGCTAAGATGGAAAGATCTTATGGAAACATTTCAGGGAAGCCATAGCCCTGGCAGCACCTACAGACAGTATGGCCAAGTCATTGGTCCAACAAGCAATAAGCATCCCACAAAATCCAGCAGCTGTCAGACTCACAAGATGCAAGGAGCTAAAGGAAGACTCGAAGCCCCTCATGCCTCCTCAAGCAAGATGTCAGGAGAGTTGGTACCGTTTTTTTTAACATCATCTATTACTCACTGCAGGACTGTGGGTAGGTTAGCTGCTTTGTTTTGTTTTGTTTTGTTTTTTTCTCCTTCACGTTTGCCTCCAGCCTTCTTGATTAACATTTGTAAAAGATAAGACACAGTAAGTATAGTTCCACAAAGCTATCTCAGGAAAGAGCCCCAAGGAGATTTCAGAGCATGGTCTGAAAATACTTACTGGAATTTGACGCTAATAGGACAATATTCTTGTGAGGCAACAGAGCACCATAGAAAAGACATGGAATTTGGAATTAGAAATGCATTAGAATTCTGAATCTGCTTAAGTCATAAAAAGTTGCAGCCACTAAATTCTCTTGTCCAAACCCACCTTACTTCTTCTTTACCACATCACATTAACGGGTCTTTGGTTGCCACTTGAAGTGTCATTGTGCTTAGAAATACACTGCTCCCCAGATGCAAGCTATTATACATAGAATGGATAAACAACAAGGTTCTACGGTATAGCACAGGGAACTATATTCAATATCCTGGGATAAACTGTAATGGAAAGAATATGAAAAAGAATGTGTATATATGTACAACTGAATCACTTTGCTGCACAGCAGAAATTAACACAACATTGTAAATCAACTATATTTCAAAAAAATAAATTTTTTTGAAAAAAGACATACATTGCTCTTGTAACCTGCAGACTATAGGCACAAGAGAAAGCATTTGCTGGGCCTTACCTTAGGGTCTCCCAGGTGTGAGAATTGGCTATAAGTCAGTAACAGAAAATCAATTCATCAAAAACTAATTTGTTGAAAATCAAGTGCCAAAGAATCCATTTAACTAAATGCCCATTTCACTAATAAATCACTACTGATTTATTAAAAACTAGTTTCTTACAACTATTTGTAGAGTTTGCAGAAATTTGTATTGGGCAGAATGGCTTTTAAAAGCTTTTGAAATAAGATTTCTTCAAAGTTCTAATTAACTGTGTTTCATTTTCTCATCATAACAACATAGTAAGGAATATTCCATTGGCCAAAAGGAAAGACTTAAAGAACGTTTGGTCTCCTTATGAGTATGTTTAATATTAAGAAAATATCTTTCATTGTTAACCAAAATTTCATCATTTTACAAGGTAATCTTTTGGTTTATACTAATCTCTTTCTCATATCCTTTTATATAACTTTGTCTTGTTCCAAGTTCAAGTCAAGAATCTGCCACTTAAGGGGATTAAGAGGTTCAAACTACTATGTATAAAATAAATAATCTACAAGGATATAGTGTATGACACAGGGAATATAGCAATATTTTATAATAACTGTAAGCTGAGTATAACCTTTAAAAACTGTGAATCACGGGCTTCCCTGGTGGCACACTAGTTGAGAGTCCGCCTGCCGATGCAGGGGACACGGGTTCGTGCCCCGGTCCGGGAAGATCCCACATGCCGCGGAGTGGCTGGGGCCGTGAGCGTGGCCGCTGAGCCTGCGTGTCCGGATCCTGTGCTCCGCAACGGGAGAGGCCACAACAGTGAGAGGCCCGCGTACAGCAAAAAAAAAAAGAAAAAATTATGAATCACTATGTTGTATACCTGAAACTTATATAATATTGTTCATCGACTATACCTCAATAAAAATTTAAAATTAAATTTTTTTTTTTTAAATAAGAATCTGCCATTTAGTCTCTGGGTAGTGCTGGCCAATTTGCTTCATCTCTCTGTGCTTTATTTTCCTCAGTTGGAAGATGGGAATAATAGTAGCCTCTACTTCATAGAGCTTTGGGGAAGATTAATCTAGTATATTAACATATAGAGAGTTTAGAACAGCAGTTGATATATACTGAGGCTTAAATGAATGTAAACTATTATAGCTTTTTAAAAAATATTGTGTTAAAGCATGATTTTCAACACTTGGGTCACCTTCAATGAGTTTTGAAAACTCCCAACTTTGTTTCACTCTACACGTACCACCCCCAGGAAATGTCCCTTGTTGCCTCTCCTGTACTGTGATAGCCTTGAACAGGCTTCTACAAAAGCATGTGTTTATTATATTCACAGCCCTGCTAGACTGTGAGCAGGGACCACTGTCCATTTATCACTGTATACCTGCTAGCACAGTGTTAGGTGCTTGGTGAGCTTCCCATAAACCTTTGCCAAATGAACAGGTAAATGATACGAATGGACCCAGCACATCTTAGGATGGGTCTCATGACTAGCGTGTGGGCTCATTCCTTTGGTGTTGACTCTTACTGACTTTTGTTTCAAAGGGTAGCCTTTTTGTGAACTCCTGCCCTCGTTCCGGAATACACTCTCTTATGCACAAAAAGTTCCCATCTCCACTTAACACCAGCCCCCTTCCCTCAGAGCCAAGGACCAGTATTACATTACTAGGCATTCTCATTCTCAGAGGTGCCTTCCTGGGATGAGGTGTAAATTAATGCCAGCCTGGCCACTCTGGGTCACTAAAGCCCAGATGGTCATTTTTGCAAGAGGAGCAACTTAACTCTACTGGTCTGGCCCAAATCCAACTTGGATAATTGCCTCCTGCCTATACAATATACCCCCTCTTGTTTCAGACACAGAAATGGTTTTCACTTCATCCTCTGAAAGCTAGCCAGGCAGGACTGTGCTGGCTTTTCACAGGACTGCCATTGCATGGGCACTGTGTAACAAAGCAGCATTCCTCTGGGGGCCCTGCAAAGTGCTCTGAGGCAAGGGAGATGGGCAACAGAAATCTAAGTGGTTTTGATTACTATATTTGGAAAAATAAGATTTAGTCATCTTAAGTCAAAACACTTTAACTCCCACTGCATTTTTTAAGCTACGGGAGTGATCAGAAGTCCATTGTATCTTAAAAAGTCTTAATTTGGAAATGAATTATCTTTTACTAGAATTATAGAAGTATGGCTGATCCCCAGCCTAGGTAACCTCTGGAGTGGGTCCATTTTTTACATTAAAACTACATAAAACGGTCTTGGATGGACTTTTGCTGGAGGAAATCCCACTTACGTATTATTATGAGGGAAAGCTGAGGTTGCTGCTTGCTCAGCATGTAACTGTCTACACAGGAGAAGACCTGATTGACAGGATGGATGGAACACATCAGTCTGACCATGAAATATCCAGGGCCAAGTGCCAAGTCAAGAGCGCCCAGAGTTGACTGATTGGCACAAAGGTAAGCAGACCAGGCACGAGGCATAAATGAGCAAGAACCGGTTAGGAACACCATCCCCAGGAGGCCTGCAGGTCCTGACCCTTTTGCGTGAGATTATCCAGAGCACGCCGGATTCATCCGAAGGGGGAAAAACGTTCCTGAAGTGGTTTAGGGTTTTATGTATTAGCTTGCCACTCTTGGAAAAACCGGAGGCTCAGAATTCTCTACACCTCATTTTGTGTCCTTGGCCAGACATATGGTTTGTATGGACTGGGCTGAAGCATAATTTCTCCACTCTGAAAAATGTCATGAGGCCTCAGAGGACCACTGCACAGCTTATTGCAGGATCGCAAGGGAGCCCTGACTGGTCCACAAACACATTCTCTTCACCCATGGCCTTGTCTCAAAGCTGGCTTGGAGAAGCTATGTCTTGATACTTAGTAATAAAACTTTCTTGGAAAGCAAGACTGCCAAAGTTTAAGTGGTAGATTTTTATGACCAGGATTATGGTCCATTAAGGGACAAGGATGAAAATACCAGCTCATTTCATTTTGATCTCTGGTCTAGGCTAAACCACCATTCTATTTCCAATCAAGTTTCCACAGGAAAAATGCCCATGTTTCTCCTCCAGAAACAACCTTCCTGGCACTTTCCCAAAAAACCCACCATGGTCTGAAGCCACATGTTCACAGCATTGAGATTCTATGGCTTTGTTTTCTCCAAGAACATAAAGGGCCTGTAAATAAAGTGAGTTTTCAACTGAGATTTTTTTGCATTCGAAAAGAGAATATGTGAAACATATTCAAACCAAATGGGACATCCCTTTGAGGATCTTCCTGGCT